CCAGGCTCCTTCACACCTGGTGATGAGCATGATGTATGTTTTGTCTGCGTTGAAACATTGATTGGGCTAGTCATTAGTATTCTAGCATTCTGCTTCGCTATCTTGTACTACGTGAAAGGGGTCAGTCCCGGTCAGGTCAGGATTTGTATCTAAGTCTTCCCCGCGCTATAAAGCACCATTTTCAATTTTGTATGTATCAGAATGCACATTGCTTGTTGAGATTCCACTTGCACTGCATTGTCCGTTCAGTCCTTTTGATCACATAGCGGATCCTCGGTTATTTTGTACATCGCCCAACAGGGCATGTAACGGTTGGTATCGGAACACCGCACGTGAATCAAGACAACCTGATCTGACATGTGTGCGGGGACTAGGTAGTTGATTAGTCTTGATTGATTGATTAGAGTACATTAGTTAGCCCCCAAAATCACGATGTTGACCTCACTGCGGAAAAAAAAAAATATATTTTTCTTGGATTTCTTTTTCTCGCTATTTCTGTTGTGGAAAATCGCAATAGCGCAACATCTGAAATTTCCGTTTCGTTTTTCTTTTGAAAATCCGAAATTTCGTTGTTGGAAATCCGGGATATCCTTACTTTAAGTTTTTTTGAAAATTTTGATTTCCTGTTGCATTTCCTGTTATTTGGAAATTCAGAATATTTTTTTCGAAATTCGTTTTTTTGAAAACGATACGGGAAATCCGTCTTGCAGTACCATTTTCCAAATTGCGAATACTCTCATCTGAGTAATACTAGGTATTTCTTTTCGGAATTTTTTTCGCAGTTCTATGTTCATTGGCAGTCTGAAGTTCGAATTTTTTTTCTCATTGATACTTTCGCACTTCAAGGGAGGTTGGGAGACCTATTGAACTTGCAAAACTTGGGATTTTTATTTTTCTCGAATTTCTTTTTTGCAAAGTTCAAACTTTTCTTTTTTTTATTAGTAGCTTCTTATCTGGGCGTTATCTGGGCGATTATCCCACCCACCCCTCCCCACCTATGTTGTTGCCCCCTCTGGTCTTACCTTCTCTATCTGTCTCCGGAGACTCCGGGTACCCCTTGCGGCGGCATTGGTGAGTTGCCACGTCAGCATACCACATCAGCAGGCCATGTCAGCAGGACACAGCAGCCGCACAGTGCCACGTCAGCAGCAGGGAGTGCCACGGCAGCAGTCCTCCGGCCTGATCAATGCTCATGTGCTTACAAACAGCCGACATGGATCAGAAGTCCGGGGAAACGGACGAGGCCTATCAAGCCCGAGCAGAGATCAGCACCGTCCGAAAGTGGCCGTGGTCGCGGCGGCAACGCCATTTGACCAAACTAGCGACCGTGTCTGCCAATGAAGGGGACAGACTCGCAGCCGCCCGGGAAGGTGGCCGCTCCGGCAAAGGCCGAGGACGCGGCAAGATGAAGACAAACACCACATTTATCCCCGGGCCCGGCGCAACAGCTTCAGCCCCATGGACCCACTACGGCCAATCGGGAAACTGAGCACCGTCGGGAGTGACTCGACGACACTCTCGACGTCTTCGGAACCGGTCGCTTCGCGGGTGACTGCCCTTCGTTCCGAGGCACATGCGAAAGTCGATAGTCCTCCTCTTCTTTATTTTTTTGAGGACTATGCTGCCCGGCTCGTTCCTACGCTGGGTACTCAAGCTCAAGGACAAGACGTGTGTGCGGCATCTT